CCCCTTGCCCGGTCCCTGCCAGTGGGTCAGCAGCAGTGTCCGCCCCGGCTCGGCGTGGGGGCACATCTCTGCAACTGCTGCAGAGGAGGCAGCCCGAAGGGCTTATTCTCTTTTAAATGCTGCCCTGCCCGATATTAAGAGCAACCCGTGCTAGCCAAGTGCAACTGCTCCCCAGGGGGTTCTGGAGACTTTAAGGACTTGGTTCTTTCTCTGCCCGTCTTGGAAAAACCAGCCCGGCTGTGAGCTGTGCTCCTGGGAGCGAGTCTGTGCTTGGAGCGCGTCTTACAAAACACACACATAAAACAAAATAAATCAGCGTAAGAGCAGCTGTCTAGATAAAACCCTATTTTCCTAAAGTTATCACCTGTAATGGACTTCTAACACTTTCAACTAATTGGATTAACAAGGAGAAAAATGCATGAAAATAATCATTTTACATAACGTGCAGGAAATGTCTTCCCCTAAGGAAAAGGATAGAACATTCAATCGGATCATCCCTATCTGTACAGAAACACTATTTGAAGTCACCTAGGTTTGGAGGACCGTGACAGTTTAATCTAGTTACAGTCTCACCCTCCGCACATCATTTTCAGCCTCCCTGAAACAGCTCCCACTCTCCTGGCTGGCCCACAATTAGCACAATTAGTGGGTTCACCTTGCGAAAGGCAGGTACTGTCAGGCCCCCATTTCTGTAATTAGCTGTCAGAGCCAAGATCACAAATAATGTGAGAACTTTGAAAAATCAGATCAATCTATGGCAGGAGCATCGAACTAGGAGAGCGGCAGTGAGCACAACGTCATGTTGGTCATAAATATTTAGTAACCGTGCAAAGTGGAAGGGGCTGGGGAAGGAGAGGCAGCCCCACAAAGCAGCGTTTATTCCAAAGGAATAACTTAGGAACTCTTAGGCAACAGTCAACATTGCAAAATCCACAGTCTGCCAAAAGACCCCAAGGGCTTCGTGTGCTTTCAACCTTATTTACCCTCTTGCTTTGAGTCCTTGGAGTGGAAGCTCCTTCTAGGTCTGTGCTGAGACACAGCAATCCTATGGAGGTTGGAGGAATTTGCTGGAGTGTGATTTCCCCAGAGAGCAAACCAGCTGTGCTATATTTGCCCCTCTCTGATACCTCTCTATCATACAAGTAAAATCTGAAATTTGTAAAATTGAATTTAATTGAATTGTAAAATTGAAATCTGAAATAAATAAAATTCTGCATGTGAATAAGGCCTCATGAGTGCTCCATCATCACATAGCTTCCCCGAGCGGCACCTTTCAGAGGCAGTGTGAACCCCAACCTCCCTGCTCCCTCCAGCACAGCGGGAGCAGGGCCACGGGATGCTCAAAGCTCCCCTTGTCTCTGGTTTGGCGTATGCCGGCCCAGCACGTGGTCATCAGCGCAGGGTGAATCCTTCCAGCCCTCCATGGTGAACATGGCATCTTGCAGGGTGCAGGATGAAACAAGCCTGATTTTGTCTCCTCCCCTTAACTTATACTTAAGTCTAAATTTGCAAAATACATTGGCTTAATTTTAGGAAGATGAATAATCTCCACTCCATCGATGGGTCTCCTGTCATTGAAGAGCTATCACATCAAAAGCCCATCCTCATTTAAAATCATTAGTTGCTGATGAGGGATTGACAGTCTCAACCACCCACCAGCCTGCTTTGGGTTTCTCTGCAAACAAGAGTCCTATGGTCAAATAAACCTGAGCCAGTTCTGTCCATTTTGTCATCATTGTTAAATTAAAGTTTGATTTTTTTTGTATTTTTAGGGATAACTGGCAAGTAAAATAATCCCACTGAGATATTAAATACAGCTCAAAGACAGTGAGACCATCATAAAACAAATCAAAGAGAAACACTGCAGAGGTTCCAATCAGCCACCCCAAGGTTATAAAACGTTTTTCACATCGAAAGTGGACAGTTCAGTTAGCATGAAAAAGCTATTTTTCCTTTTAATATGGCGATAGATTCTGGATGAAATCTCATGTTCATGACTGATCTAAATCTCACATAAAACAGCAGGGCCAGGGGATAACAGCCATTAACAGCAAGAGCTGAAAACCAGGTCAGGCATTTGACAATATTTGTCTCTTTTGCCTCATTTCCCAACTTTTGAACTGTTTTCCTGGCAGTTCAAATTAAGGACCATTTCAAGCACTTCTGCAACTGTTTTAGAAGAGTAATAATAATAATAATTAAAATAACCCCAAAGGCATTGCTTTGCAAAAGCATTCATTGTTTTCCTTTTTTTGCTCAAATCAAAATCTGATGTAGAGATGAAACGAAACCCCATGCCACGAACACTTCAAACACGCCTTGGGTAACTCTGCAATCCAAATTAGGCAAGGATGGCACAATTTCCCCCCAAACGGCAAATGTCAAAGAGTCAAGAATTGCACTGCAGCTTCCAGAGCTGTGCGTTGTCCTTCCACAGAGGTTCATATTAAATAAAACCCCCTTCTCTCTCCCAATTTTTCCTTTTTCTTTCTCACCCTGGTCTGGGTTTTACTTTGACATTAGCAAGGCCCTTTTTATTGACTTTCTTCTCTCTGGTATGGGCACTGAGACCAGCTAATTAATGGTGATACACCAACAGAACAATAAATGGTTTCCAGTAAGTTCCCTATTTCTTTTCATTGGCAAGGCCAACTTTTTTCTAAACAACAACAAAAAGAAACACTAAAAAAAAACCCCTCTAGACAGATTCCCTTTAAAGATAAGAAATCAAGAACAAGACAGCACTGGTATGCTATTTTACTCCTGCCTTTCATGTCAATTAGGGTCCATTGCTGTTCCCTGCTCAGAGAATACTAATACAGTCTGTGCCTGTAACTAGCACGTGGCCAGTACTTATGGCTGGGGAGAAGGTGCTATCACTTCCTTTCACTGGGTACATCAGAACAAAATAAGAAGTGCTCAGAAGAACTGCTTGGCATCAGCCACGGTGTGAGCTCACGTTGAACATCTCCTGCATGTTTCTATCAATGGTTATTTATGGGTGAGGAAACTTCCAGCCCATCCTGTAGCAAAGCTTCCCTGGGGAAAAAAAAAAAGTCTCCGTAACATGTTAAAAATTTTGCCAGCGCAACGGGGAGCCCTGGAAAACTTAGGAAAACAACAGCATTCATCTCCCACCAAGGGCTTGGCAGGCTGGGGGCAGGCAGAGGCCTCTCACTGCTTGTTTGAAAAAGTCGCAAAAATTTTTTTGGAAAGAGGGTGAAAGGACGGGATAGGAGCCATGGCTTTTCAGGGCTAATTACACCGCTGGGTAAGGACTGCAACTGCACGCTGCTTGGTGACCTACTTTGCCACCTGTAAATTTATTAGCTGCAGAAATTGAACGGGCTCTCTAAAAGCAAAAGTTCATTGCAAGGAATTTGCTGGAGCTCCCTCAGCCATTCCTACATTTCTTTTCCAGGCTGGGACGTTTCCGTTAGGTACCACCGAGTGGTCAGCTTGGCTTTGTCTCCTTCTGCATCCTCCCACCATGCCTTGGCTCCCTGGCAGCTGGGAATGGGGCACGGTCTCCTCCGGCCTCTCGTAGCCACGGACACGTTACATGGGATTATAAACTCATTACAACTTCCCAGCACTGCGGAGACCAGGGAAATGAAGCTAAACTTGTTTGCACCGTCCCCGTCAGGCCGAGGTGCCATGGGCAGAGGGATATTAGGTAAGTCATGCGCAGCTGCCTGCAGCCTGGGGTGCTCCATGCCATCGTGAGCCAAGGACAAGCTCGTGGGGAAGGCAAGATGAGAGGAGAGCAACGCTGCCTTAACCTTGAATTCTTTTCTTGCAGCGCAAAAGTCGTGCAGCCTCTGCATGCATGAAACGCTTTTTCTCTCATCAGTAAATTTGCCTTTCTTATCCTTCCCCTCTTTTTTTTTCTTATTTTTTTCCTTTTTTTTTAGTGACACAATAAAGGAAGGCCCCCTGTCTGTGAACACCAAGACTTTGAGCATCAAGCCGGCGGTGCCTCCCCATCTTTTGTTAGCAGAGCAGGAGGCCCTGTTTTTGCATTTAAACCGCAGCCTCTTTACGCTGTCTCGGCAGAGGAAGGGACCTTGACCAATTTCATCCCCCTTCCAGCCCCCCCAGCCCATGCAGGAACACCACAAAACCAGCCTGACTAGCAGAGAAAGCCAGGGCCCTGCCTGATTACTATTTCTCCTGCTCCCCGGGGCTGCGCACTGTGGGCATCAGGTCGAGCAGGATCAGGCTCTGACCCCGCACCTCCAAAATCAGTGGGATCTTTGCTGCTCAAAGAGTGCAGGATTGAGCCCCTGCTGCCTGGCAGCAGTTTTGCAGGGAGAATGAGGCATGTGGTGCTGGGGAGTCTTCTGCCCCTCTCCATCCTCTGTATCCCCATGGAGGGCCCATGATGGGCAATCCCCTTCTCCCTGTGCAATCAGGACACCCCCCCCGTAGGAGCGGTGGCCTCTTCTGTGGGTGTGTGACACACGAGTCAGACAGCTAGCAGCTCCATCACCTGTCCCACTTCCAAGGCTGGCAGTCCCTACATCGCAGGGAAGAGCCTGGGACAGTGGGACAGGGATGGAGGAGAACTGGGGCAGGACTCTTTCACCCAGCGATGGCTGAAAACAGAACGAAACCAGAATGAAAATAATCATTTTGGTGCCTGGGTTGAACTCTCTCTGCCAGATCTGTTGTGCAATGGAAGCTTGCCACAGTGCCCTGCGGGCAGCTGATGGAAGGCTCCTACTGGAGCCCCTCCTCCTGCTCAGAGCCCCCTTGTCCTCCTGGCACCCACCAGACTCAGGCCCACCCACCACCCTCAATGCAGGAGAGTCAGAGTCACTCCCTGAACCCCTGCAGCAGCAGCTTTATCCCCTGCTCCAGTATAACCTGGGAACTGATCCTGGTCACCCAGAAAACCACCATCTCCCGTGGGAGAGCTCATCTCTTCTCAGTGCTGCTCATGGCTTGGCAAAAAGCATGGACCAGAGCTCAGCGAAGGGAGAGAGCTGTCAGAAGGAGTGGGGTAACAGGGCAGGAAAGCAGGAGTTACTGATGATCCCCAGTTCCTTCAAATCCTCCCGCACAGGGCTCGCTGCCGCAGCAGCGCGCCAGGGCTCGGTCCGCGGGGGCTCAGCCTCTGGGAACAGACCCAAATCCGCCCTATCCCAAACCTGCTCAATATTTGCATAGGTCCCAGCCAAACACAGGGCAGCATGAAACAATAAATTAACCCTACAAAGGTATTTCTCAGCTCCCCCTCCAGCCAGCACACACGAGCATTCCCTCTGCTTCTTTTTTGGTTGCAAACCCCAAAATCCCGGCCCTCCGGCAGCCGCCGCCGGCCGCTCCCCCCGCCGCTGGCGGCCCCTCGTCTCCAGCATCCTCCCACTCTGCACGCTTGAGAGCACAAGTGCCGTGCCCCCGGAGAGAGGTGGAGGGGATAACCCCGCTTACCGCTTGCCACTCGCCGGCCGCCCAGCGGTGCGCGGGGCACTGGGGGAGGTGGCAGTCCCGCTGCGCAGGGGGCCGGCCGCCCGGGTCACACTCTGCCGCCTCGGCTGCCTTCGGGATGCCACCGTGGCAGTGCACGGTGCGCTGCTGGACGCCCCGGCCGCAGGACACCGAGCACTGCAGAAAGGGACAAGAAGGTGAGTGGTGGACCCCGTCGCAGGCGTTCCCGGGGTTCGCCCTCTGCTCTGCGCTCGACAGCAGCGATAGCGATCTCTAACAGCGGAGTTTTAAACTTCCAGGTAAGGCTCGTCATCACGGGAGGGAAAAATTTCACAAGGGCAGAGCAGACAGGCTGAAATCCCTGCTCTGCTGAATCCAGTGGGAATTTTTGCTGTCGGCTTCAGTGAGGTCAGGATTTCCTGGACAGGATTTTTATTGCAAAAACCTCTGGAGATAGCAGCACTGCTACAGCATCGCAACACGCCAGAGGCAGTGAGGCTCTGCATATTACTTTTCAGGTGCGCAGCTCAAAAAAGTAATAGTTCAAAATACATCAAATGCTGCCAATTTCACTGGAGCAGACTTTACTGAAAAGCAAACTTGAATTCTACAGAAGAAAGTCTGGAGCGAGAGAGAGGTAAAAGCCTGATGCAGCCGGGACTTCTCTCAGCATGCATCGAATCATGCACATGCACGCAAGCCAGGACATACCGTTAGTTTGTGAAAACGAATGCCTTTTTTAAATTAACTGCATTTCACATTCCCTTCATTACTCTGTGGGCACGTTTCTCCCCACTTCTAGGCACAGCAAGAAAAGCCTGAATTTCTCTGTTTCGCAGACATCTTCATATTGTTATCTACACTGCAATGCTTTTAACAGCTTGTTTCTTCTTTCACGCAACATTTCCTCGCGTTGTGACTGCACACTGATAATACGTTTAGCAGTACTTAACATCCCTCTGGTACGGATTCTTCCTGACAAGATTTTAAAGAATACTATATAGATTTGGAAAAAAGAGGATTTGCATTTATAGAAGAAAGTGTGTAAAAATCAAAGGTATGCATTTAAAAGACGGCTATTACGATTTGCTGAATTAACAATTACTATAAGCAACCTTATTAATACATCAGGAACTAAGAAAACAAGTTTACAGCCCGTTACTGCAATACCCATAAAATCGAGCCTTCTCAAGGCAGGGAATTAAGTGGCTCCTAACGGCGAAGCAATTCTCTCTTCTGCGGAGTATTCCTCCGTAACGCTCCGTTTGCTTTACTATCCAAACGTCCCATAAAGCCAAGAGGACCAAAAAGCAGCTGACTCTGAACATTTCCCTGGCTTCAGATATTTGTAAGAGGGTGGGAGGCTTTTTTTTTTTGTGTAACTTTTGAAAGCAGCAAGATTTCTGTCACTGGTGACTCAAAAGCTTCCCATATGCTGCGCTCCCTCCCTGTGATTAACAGTGCTGTTTGTCCTACGCGTTCCATAGGGGACAGTTAAACTGAATAACGGCCACAAGCTTGGAGAAACATATACACCAGGATGCATGCCGTGTCTAAAACGCCTTTTGGTTTGCATTTATGACCCATCTAAACAGCACATGCCCGGGTATGTTGTGATAAGGGAGAGCAAGTCATGCCGTGGCTCTTTCACAGGGGGCTGTGCTGCATGTGACACACGGGCAGAGCGGGTTTGGGGAGGAGGCGGCTGGTCTCTGGCCGTGCCGGGCAAAGCAGGGCACCCGGCAAAGCCGTGGATTCATTCATTGCATGCCAGGGTGAAACTTTGCCCCTGAATAAGCCCATGAGGATAAATTCTGCATCCTGACCGCATTGGTGGGAGGACTCTCAGTAGGGGAGCGAGCCTCCTCCAGGACCCCAGGCCAGGGCTGCTGCATCCTGCTGGACCATCCCTTGGAAGAGATTTGAACCCATGTTGTGTGAGTAGGCAAGCAAAGAGCTTTTCCTTGGGCTAATTTTATGTAGGTGAGGCTTTTCTTAGCTGGAAAGGTTTCCTAAGAGCACTTGGTGGGCC